CCAGTCTCCTTCAGCCCCAGCTCCACAGCCCCAGCCAGCCCGTGCCAGTCTCCTTCAGCCCCTCAACTCCCCACACATATTTTTTTCCTTTCTGGCTTATTTCAAAGCAAAGGAAGATGTCATATCATTTCACCTGTGAGTATCTGTTTTTATTATTTTTATTTATATATTTTGAGATAGAGTCTTGCTCTGTCACCCAGGCTGGAGTACAGTGGTGTGATCTTGGCTGACTCCAGCCTCTGCCTCCCGGGTTTAAGAGATTCTCCTGCTTTAGCCTCCTGAGTAGCTGGGATTTCAGGCACCCGCCACCACGCCTGCCTAATTTTTTTTTTTTTTTTTTTTTTTTTTTTTTTTTTTTTTTTTTTTTTTTTTTTTTTTTTTTTTTTTTTTTTTTTTTTTTTTTGTATTTTTAGTAGAGACAGGGTTTTAGTCTGTTCGCCACTCTCTTCTCAAACCCCTGACCTCGTGATCCACCTGCCTTAGCCTCCCAGAGTGCTGGGATTACAGGCGTGAGCCACTGCACCCGGCGAGTTATTATTATTTTTTTAGAGATAGAGTCTTTCTCTGCCGCCCAGGCTGGAGTGTGGTGGTGAGATCATATAGCTCACTGCAGCCTCGAACTCCTGGGGTCAAGTGATCCTCCCACCTTGACCTCCTAAAGTGCTGGGATTACAGGTGGGAACCCATTGTGCCCAACCATTTTATTATGTTTTAAAGAACAGTCTTTTAATTAAATCTAAGGACATTGACTATTTGTGCTTTAGTTTTTATGTTTCATAAACCGTAATAGTCGCTGAGGCTGCTCTTTAGTTCAGCTTGATGGTGGTTTGCTACATGCTGAGTATGGCCGAGGGCTCGGTCCCTGCCCGTCAGTGGGTGGCAGAGGGCACGGCGCTGTCGCCTTCAGGGAGACTGGTTCCTTCAGCAGGCTCAGCTCAGGCCAGTGCCGCTGGAGGTCTTGGAGGGCTGGGCCTGTGTGCCCTGGGGCGCCTCTGAGGAGTAGCTGCTGTACCTCTGTGAAGGTTTTGAGGAGCATCCCTGGGGAGGTTGGGTGGAAGCCAGCCCAAGTGCCCGTGCTGTCCAGAGCAGGGTCTCTCCTCTCGAGGGAAGTAGTTTTGGCCTTTCCTGAGTCACCTCGGGCCCCTGAGCTGCAGCCACCTTTCCACGGAGCTGCTGACCCCCACTTCCCACCCCATGAAGGGCCCTGCAGCCAGGTCCTCTGCTGCCCATATCCCACCACAGCCTCTCAGGAACCTTCCTCTCCCGTATGGTTGTCTTCCACTCTCTGGGCTGTGCCATCCGTACACAGAGTATGCTCTAGTGTCTCCTGTCTCAAAACTGAGTGTGCTGTGCGCAGTGAGCTAAGCCAGGCACAAGGAGATCATCATTGCATGATTCCCCGGGGTGATCAAATTCAGAGCTGGCGGATGGTTCTGGAGGCTGGAGGAGGAGAATGGGGAGTGAGGGTTTAACAGGAACAGGGTTTCAGGTTTCTGCAATGGAAAGAGTCATGGAGGTAGATGGTGATAACGTTTACATAACATTTAAAATGTACTTAATACCACAGAACTGTGCACTTAGAAGTGGTGATGATAAATTTTATGTTTATCGTGATTAAAGAAACTTGGCAGATCTTAAACTCCATGTTCCTTTGCCTACCCTTCCCTCTCTCTGTTCCCAGCCATGGCAGGCTTCTCCCAAAAGACCTGTTTAACTCTGGTCGGGCATGATGGCTCACACCTGTAATCCCAGTACTTCAGGAGGCTGAGGTGGGCAGATTGCTTGAGCTCAGGAGTTCCAGACCAGCCTGGGCAAGGTTGCTCTACCAAAAATACAAAAAAATTTAGCTGGGTGTGATGGTGTGTGCCTGTAGTCCCAGCTGCTTGGAAGCTCAGGTCAAGGCTGCAGTGAGCTATGTTCTCACCACTGCACTCCAGCCTGGGTGACTGTATTAGAACATTTTAATACCACTATGAAGAAGTACCCAAGACAGGGTAGTTTATAAAGAAAAAGACGTTTCGTGAACTCACAGCTCTACATGGCTGGGGAGGCCTCACAATCACGGTGGAAGGTGAAGGAGGAGCAAGGTCACATCTTACATGGCGGCAGGCAAGAGAGAGCGTGTGCAGGGAACTGCTCTTCACCAGAACATCAGATCCCGTGAGACTCACTATCATGAGACCAGCACGGGAAAGACTCGGCCGCATGATTTGGTTTCCTCCCACAGGGTCCCTCCCGCGATACGTGGGGATTATGGGAGATGAGATTTGGGTGGGAACACAGCCAAACCATATCAGTGACAGTGTGAGACCCTTTCTCAAAAAAACAAAAACCTTGTTCTGTTGTGTTTCTGTATCTCACTGCCCCCGTGTGGAGGCAGGCAGGCCCTCGTGTGGCTTGGGCCCCGGGGGTCCCTGACTTTTCTGTGTCCCTGTAAGCCGCACACTCAGTCTGTCAGCAGATCCACGTGGCTCCTCAGACATTGCGATCCCAGCCCTCTCTCCCCTGCCACTAGCACCTTTGTGGTACCTGCCACCTGTTTTTCCTTCTGTGACTATGGCAGCTTCCCGACCTTAAAGTCTGAGAGGCGCAGCAGCCAGGCAGGCATTGAAGGGTTCAGCCATGTCCCTCCCCTCACAGCCGGGCAGAGCCCTCCAGGCGGTCCGTGAAGCCCTGCCTGGGGCAGCAGCGGGACAGAGAGGCTGGGTTCTGCATCCCATATTCTAGATTCTTCCTGACCTGGGTGTGGTGAGGAGCTGGCACCACCTCCTTTCCCTCTGTGTCCTTTTCCCTTACCACCCTGGCTGTCTGGACGTCTGCAGTCCTCTGCCTCGCCCGACCTTCAGCCTGCAGCACCGGGTCCTGCCTCCCTAGCCCGCATCTGGTGGGACCTTCCCTGGGCCTGCCTCTACTGCCTGTCTTTCCCGGTGTTCCTGCACCCGTGGTCACTCTGCCAGGTTGTCAGCTCCAGGAGGGCAGGGCTTCTGCCCAGCTCTGGGGTGGCTCAGTGTGTGGGAACACGTGGGTTCCTGAGTGACCTTGCTGCGTCTCACTGGCCTCTCGCCTGCCTTCCTCATAGCTTAGGTCCTTTCCAGTGCGTGTGCTGTGCAGCCAGAACCAGCCTGCCCCAGGCTCCGGCCCTCGCACCCTGGCCTGCTGGGCTTGTGCCTCAGGCCTTTGCTGGACTCCTGGTGCTGGAGGCAGAGGCCAGCTGCCCTCATGCTGTCTCCCATTCGTGTTCCCTGCCTCTTCACACCTCCCACCTACAATGAGGATGGGGTAGGGACGGGCAGGATCCCAGCTGGCACGTACCGGGTTGTGTTGGTCGTCAGAGCAAGAGCGTGGCCTGCATTCTCAGTTGGCAGCTACTGTGTGTGTGGCAGGAAACTGCTGGTGCAGAGCAGGAACTGTGCACTTGGCTGTTTTACGGGGAGCCTGGTGGTGGCAAGGCACCCAGCAGAGACCCCCGTGGCAGAGCATCCCCCCAGCTCTGTGGGGCGGAGAGTGCAGACAAGGACACCGAGCTCTTCCTCCTGCCTCGAACTGTGGCAGCCCTGAGAGCTACCTGCAGAGGGTGGCCCCCAGGACAGGTGGGGAGGATGGCTCTGGGATCAGCATGCAGATGCCCAGCCATTGCTACACCGCCTGGCGTCCTTGGGTGAAGCTGTGGCTGCCCGTGTGAGTTCTACCGACGCTTTCTTCGTTTGTTACCAGAGCTGCCACGAAGGCCGCTGCCCGCTCCTGCTGACCGAATGCCCCGCGTGCAAAGGCCTGGTCCGCCTCGGTGACAAGGAGCGACACCTGGAGCATGAGTGCCCGGAGAGAAGCCTGAGCTGCCGGCACTGCCGGGCACCCTGCTGCGGGGCAGACGTGAAGGTGCGCAGGGCTGGAGCAGCCTGTGGGGCGGCTGCCATGCGGGGCTGAGCTGGGGCGCTGCATGCGGCCACGGGCTGTGTTGGCTCCTTTGCACTCGTTCCACCCTCAACCCTTTCCCTGAAGCCACGGGGTGGATGTTTCTTGGCAGAACTGGGAATGGGTGTCAAGTTAATGTCGAGGTCTTTAAAAAGCATTTTTGTAGGCCAGGCATGGTGGCTCACGCCTGTAATCTCAGCGCTTTGGGAGGCTGAGGCAGGCAGATCATGAGATCATGAGTTAGAGACTAGCCTGGCCAACATGGTGAAACCCCGTCTCTACTAAAAATATACCAATCTAGCCAGACGTGTGGCAGGCACCTCTAATCCTAGCTACTGGGGAGGCTGAGGCAGGAGAATCGCTTGAACCTGGGAGGCCGAGGTTGGTGTGAGCTGAGGTTGAGCCACTGCACTCCAGCCTGGGCAACACAGTAAGACTCCATCTCAAAGAAAAAATTTTTATTTTTAAAGGCACTTTTGCCGGGCACGGTGGCTCATGCCTGTAATCCCAGCACTTTGGGAGGCCAAGGCGGGCGGATCACGAGGTCGAGTGATCGAGACCATCCTGGCCAAGAGGGTGAAACCCCGTCTCTACTAAAAATACAAGAATTAGGTGGGTGGGCCGGGCGCGGTGGCTCAAGCCTGTAATCCCAGCACTTTGGGAGGCCGAGGCGGGTGGATCACGAGGTCAAGAGATCAAGACCATCCTGGTCAACATGGTGAAACCCC